ATAAAACACTTACCCCCGTTTGCCAAACACCTAACGCAACCACTACCATATCAAAAAAAGAAGGAGAAAAATTCAAATCAGCAAAAATCCAACTGTGAAAAACAAAACTCAAGATTACAGACAGAAGAAAGGAAGAAAATCCTTAAATTACATCTACAATACAAAAAAGTAAAGTCTTATTAGAAACCTTTTTCCTTTTCACTTCAAATGACTTTATTACATTTTAATCAAAAATCCTTACAATATAACCAAATTATTAATTTAGCACTATCAAATTTCCCAACATCCAAAAAAAAACTATGAATTGACAAGGGACGACAGTTCATAAAAAGGGGGGCAGTAACAACAATCTTGTCGTCACATTTCTAAAAAAAAATGTTATATAATGTTTTTTCGAATAATGTTTTTTCAAAATTCAATAATTCAACTAAATATTTTTTTTCCTTTCGCTTTGCTCTTTTATATTAGTCAAATACGTAAAATATTAAATTGCATTTAAACTTTTAACTTTCCTCCGTGTCACACTAACACAGAGAGCTAAATTTGAAAACAGCATTTTCAGCATTTTCTTTATTATTATTTTAATTTCATTCTTTCAATAAGGGAATTTAATTTATTTTAATTTTTTTACGATTAATAATTTTACTTACCTTCCAGAAAACCAATTATGTAAAAAATAGGAGAAGATGAAAATTTTGTAAAACTCGAAAGAGTTATTCAACTTCACTATATGCCAAGGACACAGCACTGGACCACAACACAAGCAACACACATTCATAGCGGCTGTCAAGGGACGTCAGCCTAATAAAAGAGGGGCATTTGTTACGGCCGAACTCCGTAACTTTTTATATCATAAATAATTATTTACAATACTTGAAAAACCGAATTATAAACAACGAATTATACACAAGAGATTATGTTAACAAACTTCAAAACATTTACACGAAAAACAACCCTTTGTAATTTCACAAAAGGGACATTCTTCGCTTTGGTAATTTTAATCCAAGGTATCCCTAATTTGACAAAAATTCTAATTCTACATAAAGATTGAATTTAATGTTTTTTTTTAGTTTGACAATTTTTAAAGTAAAAAAACTTAAGAATATAATACAATACTTCTTAATAAATTCCCTTCTTTCACAAACAGCTTATTAACTCTTTTAAGAAATGGATAGAAATTATCAAAGGCAAGCAAATAGCTCAATATAAGGAGTGGTGCATCTAAGTCACCGAACTCGGATCACGCCACTGGCTAAATCTGCAAGGTTGCAGAAATCGGCTTAGCAACAGCCACGTTAATTATGAATTCTCCCACTAAATCGTCTTTTAATAAAAGTGATCGACATAAGGAAATCTGGACAGTTTATTCCAGGCCATTGTAGCCTGTAGTTGTAGCCGGCATTTTTGGGCCAGGCAAACCTAAGTCCGGCAATTGGCCGTGTTTGTATGAAAACGATCTCGGATGCTTAAAGAAATTAATAAGAAGTTTGTTTAGAAAAGTGAATTTAATAGAAAAAAATATAAATAAATAAAAGTAAAAAAGGTTGAATTGAAAAATATATAATTGAAATATAAAGAATAAAATAAAGTGATATAATTAAAAAGATAAAAGAAATAAAAGAAAATATTGAAAATAAAATAAATGATATTGAATATAAAAATTTGTGGAATAAACATAAAGGAATTTGTGAAAGAAATATAAAAGAATTAAAGTGGTCAAAGTAAAGTAAAAGACTCTTATATCAAAAAGGAAAAAAAAGTAAAGCCATTAAAGTATAAATAATATTACTTTCAAATATATATTAGAAGACAACCTTTATTTACAAGGTTTAGGTCTTAAACTTTGTGTAACTTAAAAAGAATATTAAAGTTCCCAGTGAAATATCAATTTAGTGATCCTAGATTTGGTATTTCCTGAATTTTTCGGAAAAACATCGTGAAGCAGGTATAAAGACAAGACACATTCATTGGATTCATATTACCAAGGAAGAATCACCGAGTAGTGAGTAAAGATCTTACGTGTCACAACACACACTAATATTCTATTCACACAGATACACTTACTCTTCTTACACATAAAATTAGATTTATCTGTAATAGGGACTTTGGGCAAAATATACACTGGGGTCAAAAAGTTTCAGTACATTTGTGTTAGAGCCGAATTTGAAAAATTAAATAAATTTAATTTTATATTATCAAATTTTTAAATAGACTTCAATTAAACGTGTCCTTCGGACGAAAATCGTATAAGTAGTGGATTCTTCCCTCTTCTTGGTTATTAGTTCAACCAAGGGGTGAGAATCCTATATTTTGAATTTAGAGAAGATAGGTTAATTGGACAGGATTTTTAAATTAAAAGGCAAAAATTAAAGATAAAAACAAACAATGATATATTTGACCCAAAAATCCCTAATACAAATATTCTAATTTTTGTTAAAAATGTGTAAAAAGAGTAGAAGTGTATATGTGTATATGTGTGTGATTGAGTTTCAGAAAATGTGATATGAAATGTGATATTTTTTACTCACTGTTTAGAAATTCTACTTTGCAACTTTAATCCAATTTGATGAGAGTTTCTTCTCTCTGTTTTCTCCTGACATTAACTTCCGAAATTGATGAAATACCAATTCTAGGGTCACTAGAATGATATTTGCTTAACTCACTTTTTTTTATTCCTTTTTGAAGTACACAAAAATTTGAAGACCGAACCTCGAAAAGGAAGGTTGTCTTTAAAGGTATATTTAAATTGATATTCCCTTAATTCTTTTAATGAAAATAACTTTTAGTTTATTTTGTTGAATTTAGACTTTTACAATAAGCTCTTTTAATTCTTCTATTTCTTTTATATTCCTTTCAATAAATTTATTTTTCAATTCACTTTATTTTTAATATCCTCTTTTAATTATTTTATTCTTTTTCTCGTCACTTTTTATTATTTTTCAATAAAACTTTTAAATCCAACCTTTCTTTTATCTTTATTTTTTTTATATTTCTATTCTCAATTAAAATTCACTTATTCTTCCCAAACTTTTATTGATTTTCTCGATTTTATTTAAAGGGATTATCTTTTCCCGAACTTCACTTTTTTTTAAAACACGGCTCACAGGCCGGACTTAGGAATTTTCCAGGCTAAAGATTGCCGGCTTAAAAAAAACAACAGGTTTCGACGACCTGCAACTAATTACTGCTTTGATTTCCCCGTGTCGGTCAATTTTATTGAACGACGATTTAGTGGGGAAATCGTAAGCAAAGTTGATTGCACTCGACTGTTGTCAAGTCAATTTCTGCAACCTTGCAGATTTAGGCAGTGGTATGATCGAAGTTCAATGACTTGGATACACCACTCCTTATATTAAGGAATTTGGTTTCGACAACTCCCTGTGATTTCCCAAGAAAGTCAACAAACTGTTTGCCAATAAAAAGGGAATTTGCCGAGAAATAGTGTAACTTATATTTAAGGTTCTTCACCTCAGAATTGTGAAATTCAGGGGAATAATAAATTGAATAGAATTGTTTATAATTTTAGGATTAAATCATTATTTAAATAAACTGCTTAAGATCATATTGGATAAAAATGTCAAAGATAAGAATGTCTTTTAGTGAATTTACAAAGGGTTGTTCTTTTTGTAAGTGTTTTTGTGATGTTATCTACAAAATTTCGTATCATGCGAAATGTTGTTTGTGATTATGTTTCATGACGTATTTTAAATGATTATTTTTAAATATAAAAGGTTACGGAGTTCGGCCGTAACAAATGCCCCCCTTTTATTAGGCTGACGTCCCTTGTCAGCTGCTATGAATGCGTGTAGTGGTCCAATGTGATATCCTTGGAGTGTAATGTTGTTGGATAACTCTTTCGAGTTTTACAAAATTTTAATCCTCTTGTTTTACATAAATTGTTGCTGTAAGGTAAGTGCATTTATTAAAGTTAGGGAAAGAAAAAAAATGAAATAAATTCCCTTATATATAAAAAAAAATATGAGAAAAAAAATATTCTCTATATATGAGCTGTTATTTAAGAGTAAAAACGCTGAATTTTCAAATTTAGTTTTCTGTGTCAGTGTCACGTCAAGGTAAGTTGAAGGTCTGATTGTAACTTGATATGGTAGTTTATTTTAGTTCTAATTATGTAAATAGATAGAAAAATAAAAAAAAAATGAATAACAGCCATTTTATTTTATTTTTATCGTTTTCTTCTTTCAAAAGAATTATAAAAAAAAATCATTTTTTTTTTTTTTTAAAGAAGGTGACAACACTGTTGTTACTGCCCCCTTTTATATGAACTGTCGTCCCTTGGCAGTTTATAGTTGTATTTTTTTTGTTATTATTGATGTTTAGACTCTATTAGAGAAAACAATTTTAAAAAGAAATTTATTTATAACTGGCATTATTCTTAAAAATTTAATTCAATTCCTTAAAAAAGATATCAATTAATTTAACAAAAAATCTTTGTTTTTTTTTTTTTAAAATACTTTGGATTAATTCAATTATTTACAAAAATATTGAAATTTTTCACAGAGATTCCATTTTTTAAAAAAAAATATTTTAATAAAATTCTTGAACAGAAATCGATTATTTTAATTAAAAAATTTTAATTAAAAAAAATTTTTTTTTAAATATTTCGATTATTATTTTAGATTTAATATTTAATTTAATTTAATTTATTTTTTTTTTTTTTTAGTAAATTTTTTTTTAAAAGTTTTTGTATATTATATTTTTTTTTAAATAAATTTTATTTTTATGAGTATGTATATATGTATTTCATTTTTGATGGGTTATTTTTGTTTTATGTATAGGTGAAGGAAAATTTGCTTGTGTTTAATGTAAGATGAGTACATTTTTCCTGTCTTTGGTTTAAAATCTTCAATTTCTCTTTCTAATGATTTTGATAATGCTGATTTGTGCTTTTGGCTGGTCGATGTGGTGTCTTTTCTCGTACTTTGTCAGTTTCTTAGAGTCTTCCGTTTGGTGTAGTTGTTTTATTTTTTATTCGATTCGGTTTTAGTGATTTGTTGTGGTTTGTTTAAAAAAAAAAATAAACCAAAATAATACAATGGCTTCTTTCGATTTATCCGTAATGAATGAAGTTTTGAGTTACGTGGAACGTGGGGTTACGAGTAAGGAGAGTTTTTTGTTGCTGAAGTTATCTGAAATTGAGGAAGCTGAACGTGAATCTTTCGCGAGAGGAGAGAGGGGGTGAGTTTTAAGAAAATTTTATTTTATGGGTGTTTATAATGTGAGATTGTGTGTTTTTTTTTGTTTCGTGTTTATGTGAAAAAAAAATGTTTTTAGAGTGCGTGTGGTTGTATCTTCGTGGGAGGACGCCGAACTAAGGGAGGGAACAGGGCCTTGGCCTCTTATGACCTCCAGATGTTATCCCGAGAGTGCCCCTTATGATGATGCTGTATGGCATCAGGAGTATAGGTGGTCTTGGGAGTTCAAAAAATATGAGTCCCGTTATTATTGGGCTCCGGATACGTACAAGACTCCCACTTCCACTTCTGTGTCCAAAGAAGAATTGATGGAGGAAATTATAGGTATTTTGGGCGTCAACGCTTGTTGTAGGTGAGTGATTTTATTTTGTCGTTTTCCCCTTTTTTTTTTTAATAAAAAAAAAAACTACTAAAATTATTTTTTTTAATGGAGGAAAGTCTTATTTGTTTTGTTCCCTTTTTGTTATAGGAGCTATATGTTTTTACCTAATGATCCTCCTAGGCTTGGGTTTCGCCCCAAAAACTCTGCGTTAGAGCTCGTTTTCGTGCAACGTTATAAATTGGAGTGGGAGGAAATGATATTGGTCTCGAAAGCTTGGGATGTGGTAAGTGTGAGAATTGAAAATAATTAATTAGTTTTGTAATAGTGATTTCGGTGTGTGCTTGTTTGTTTTTCTGATGTTTTAATATTGGTTCTTGTTTTTATGTTTTAGCGCTGGAATCTTCCAGTCCAGAGTGTCTGGTATCCCTGCTAGCTTGTAGCATGTTTTCATTATATATTGAATATTTTATACTGGTGTTAATTTTGTATATTAATTTTAAAAAGAAAGTTGATTATAATTATTATTGTAGCTTTGTCGAGCAGGGGGGGAGGGGGTTGGTGGTTTTAATAAATTGACGGTTTCTTTCTTAAATGGTCTAATTATTTTCCCTTTTTTTTTGTTTTATTGTTTTTAATGTTTTTTTTTTTTATAATTTTAATTTTTTATAGAAATTATGATTTTTAATTGTGTAATTTATTTTTTAGAAAGAAAATGAGAGAGAAAAAAAAATGTTGTAATATGAAAGTAAAATGTTATTTTATTATTTCTATTTTTTATATAAGTGGTTTTTTTTTTATTGGTAAAAAAAGGAAAAAAAAAATATCTTTTCTGAATAATTTTTAGTTATTCGAATTTTTTTTATTTAAGTAAGAAAAAATTTTAAAATATATTATGCAGTGTTAAAAGGGAATTATGAAGAATAAAGAAGAAAAGTAAAAAAAAACGTCAGCGTTTTGTGGTAAGGTGTAGTCTCTTTTATTCTCTCTCCGTGCCTGTGTGATATGAGGTTGTTTGACAGTCTCTCTCGTGCATCGGCATATTCTAGTTTGTTTGTGGTTAGAAGTGTATGTTTAGAATAAAATTTTTTGATCTTGTTATGTGTTTTTTTTTGTGATTGTGTGTGTGTGTTTTTTTTTTTAAATATTAAAATAAAAGATATTAATTGGAGGTTTGTTCCTATTAGTGTTATTTTTCTGCTCTTGGATTAGTTCCTGTTTTTTTTTTTATCCAATGTGAGTAAAATTTTTCTTTCTTTTAATGTTTATTTATATTTTTAAATTATCGAAAATTATTATTTTGTTGTGATAAAAATAAATGAAAATAAAATTTTGGAATTAATTTTAAAGAAATAGTGTTACTAATAAAATGATTATGTAGAAATATCCGTGTGTCGTGACCGTCCTTGGTCTTGAAACACTATTCCGTTTTTGTCAGCATTTTCTTACTTTCATTAAATGACTTTATGTTATTTTGTGTTCAAATTTTTCTTTCTTTTGTATTTTATGAATGTATTTTTTTTTATTATTATTTGATGTTTTTATTTATATATTTAAAAAAAATGCGTTCATAATATGTTTTATTATTTTATTTTAAGTTTAAGGAGGTTTCCATCTCCAAGTTTGTTTAATTTCTCGTCAAAATTTTAATTTTCTTTAAAGATATTAAAATTCTTCTCCAAAATTCAGTTATTTTCAAAAAATCTAAAAAAAAAAATGGTCAACATCTTATAATTATCTTTATAAATAAATAGTAAAATTCTTCGACAAAATTCAATTAATTTCAAAAATTTTAATGAAATCCATTGCAAAATATGAATTTTTAAAAGTAGTAATACTCTTCACAAAAATTAAATATTGTTCAATCTACTACTATTTTCATAAAATTTGTCGAAAGAATTTAATTGTATAAAAAAAGATTAATAAAATTCTACAAAAATCCTTAATTATTTTCAAAAAATAATAAAAATTTCACAAGAATTTCATTAATTTTAAAAAAAAATTTTATCGAATTCCTCGAAAAAATTTTTCAATAAATTACTAATTTTTATATTTAAATAATTGAATTGTCGTAGAATTTTCTCATAAACATTGATTTAAAAATAGATTTCAGTTAAAATCTCAGATTACAATAACTGAATTCTTTCGAAGAATTTCGTTAAAATTCTTTTTAAAAAAACAATTCAATTTTATCGAGACATTTTATCAAAATTGTCCCAAAAATAATTGAATTTCTACCAAAAAAAAAATTTTATCAAAAGTTTTTAAAATGTTTGAATTTCTGTTAAAATTCTGATATTTTTTTTTTTTTAAAAAAAAAAAAAATAATTGAATTCAATTATTTTTAATACAGTTCTAATCGAATTTCTCGAAGAATGTGATTATTCTTAAAAATTGTATTAAAATTTGTTCATATGATTCAATTATTTGAAAATTTGTTGATAATGATTTTTATGGGAATTTCATTTTAAGAAGCGTTCAATTATTCAATAAATTATTTATTTGCTTTATGTTTGTATTTTTTATAACTGAATTATAATAATAAAATAATAAAAATTGATTTTCATTTTATAAAATGAATTTCAGTTAAAATTTTATAGATAATAATTGAATATTAAATGCAATAGAGCATTATTTTTATAGTTTCTATTTTCTAATATTTATTCGATTAAAGAATTTAGGAACAATTGAAATTTCGTAAAATTGAATTTTGTAAACAAATGAATTTGAAAATTGTCAAAGAACTTTTTCGAAAATTATTTTTTAAAAAAAAATCGATATAAAAAAGAATTTTAGATAAAAATTCTTAAAGTAATTATTGAATTCTTTATGATTTTAATTATTATAAATTATTTTTATTAATTATTATGAAACATGTAGAAATCGATGACTTTGAGTCGAAGACTCGGGAGTTATCGATTTTTTTCATGTTTTATAGTTATGAAAAATTATTGAATTTCTAGTTTTAAGGAAAATGTTCTCTTATGTGATTAGGCCTGATTCTATTTGTGTTAGTTGGTCCGTAAATGGTCTGTAATTTTTAATTTTTGTTCCATAAAGTCCGTATTTACTATTTTTAAATACTTGAATTTTGGCTGAGAATTTAAATTAAATTTTTGAAAATACTGAATAATAATAATATTTTTTTTTTTTTTTAAAAAAAAAAATTCGTTCATTATGAAAAATGTTAAAATACAAGAATAAATGCTTAATTCAATTCAGCGCATGCATTTCTTAGTTAGTATATCTATATATGTGAGTCACTATATAGGTATACTGGACGTATAGTTCTCCTTAGTTGCTCTCCTCTTTCTTCTGTTCGTAGGCGCCCCGCCTGCTCCGCGACTACCCCGAAGCAATGCGTTGCCCTATATGCCTGTTTTCCTTCTCTTTACTTTTATCCGCTCCCCGGCGTTTCACCACCACTTCAAGCTTCCACAAGCTTACATCCATGCATGGCAATGTTTTTTTTTAGGTTTAAAATTATCGTTTAAAAAGGAAATACTGCCAGAATTTTTATCTCTTTGATTGTGAAATAATATTCCGACTAATAAAAAAAATTTTTTTTTTTTAATTTTGTTAATGTTTGCTAATAAATTATCAGAACTAAGTGGTATAGCATTTGAAGCGTGTCATTTATTTATTTATTTATTTTTTTTTTTTTTTGCAGTATTTACCTCTTATGAAACATTTTATTTGGATTAATTTGATAAAAATTGCTCATTGTTCAGCATTATTTAATGCTATAAATTTTAAGCAGGGTTGCAAATGATTTTTTTTTATTTATGAATGCCCTTACTTTTTAATTTGTCTGAGAGAGAGAAAAGAGAAAAAAAAAAATATCCTTCGTGAATTTATTAATTTTGTTAGTTTGTTTGCAGGTTATTTATGTTTGTTGTTTTATTTTTATTATTATTATTTTTTTTTATATTACAAAGACTGAAGCTGCCCTTTTGTGTTTATAATTTTTTGGTAAGTGTTGTTTTAATTTTTTTTGTTAATGTTTATTAAATTTCCCTTTTTTTTTTTTTTAACCATGGCTCTTTTTTTAGGTAATTTGCAAGTTTTATGAAAGGGATATATAAAAAAATGTTTTATAAAAGCGGAGTAATTCTAGGGCATTTTGCTGTCTTTTCTAGTGTTTTATTTAATTTGTAAGTATGTTTTCAATGTTTGTTTTCTTTGGTTTTAAATCCTTTATTAACCATGGCTCTTTTTTTAGCTCTTTCAAAGTTGGTTGGTGGTTCCTGTACTCTAGCTTGAGGAGGATTTTAATTTCATCTACGAAGCGAAAAAAAAATGTTTTTGTGTGCTTATCTTATTAAATGGGGGTTGATGCTTTTCGGATTATCTTTACTTGGGTGAGTTTTTTTTTTTAACATTGTTATTTTTGTATTGTTATTTATGTATGTTTTATTGATTTTCTTTTTTTTTTTAGGTACCCTGTGCCTCCCTTTTTGATGAATATATATATATATATTTTTTTTTTAATAATGAATTTCTTAAAATATATTATACGAAAAAAAAAATGATAAATAAGAGTACATTAAAGTGTTAAGTAAAGAACAAAATCGTGTTATTCAAGAATTTTGTGTTTAATATTATCTTTCTTATTCTAACATTATTTATATGGTATTTGTAAAAGGTGTTTTTTTTTTTTTTTTGTTTTATTCTATATGTAAGTGTTTTATAAATTTATTAATTAATATTTTATTCTTATTTAATTTATTATTAATTGTTAATTACTATGATTGATATTAATATAGATTTTTTTAAATTTTTTTTTGTTTTTTATTTCCCATTTTACCCAAAACTAAAACTATTTCTACTGGAGTTGGAGTTCGCTTTCGAGGGGGAATTTGGAGACTCATCAAGTTGACCAACAACAGATGAGGCTTTTCTTAAGGCCCTTTTCCCGGAGTTTTGGATGTCTCATTTGCTTCTACTCAGAAAAACTTTCTTAGGAGTGGATACAACATGTTGTAGTGAGAGAATGTTTCTCACCAACATTTTTTTTTTACATTTTAAAATGGTTTTTTTTTTTAAATTAAATCTACAGATCATTATTACATCTATATATGTATGTGTATGTATTTCATGCATACTTATATTTATATATATGTTAGTAATGGATTATTAATATTGGAGGTAATTATATTGTAGTAATTGTTAGGTTTATTAGTTGCCAGTTGTTTCTTATCTACGTAATTTTTAATTGGTTTAGTGTTAGTGTTATTTTTTCTTCTTTTTTTAGCTTTTTGGTTATTATAAGTTTTTTTTTTTACAAGTTAATATTATATACATTTTTTTTAAAAAAATCGGTCTGCTTTTTGTTTAGGCTATGTCTACGTATTTAATTTTGGGTGTTTCTGTATATTGTAATTTGGAGATAGGGTTTTCTCGTATCGTTTTTTCTTTTCGTACAGTGCTGCTGGTTGTGGGTTGGTTATCTTCTTGTCGTTCGTTTCGTTGTAGGATTTCTTGTTCAATGGTTGGAGGGGATAGGCATGTTTTTTGGTTTGTTATAAAATTGGTAGTATTTTGGTTGTTGGGTCTTTGTTGTAAGGGGCTGGACGGTATTGCGTACATTTGTTGCGTCTCTGTCTCGTTGCTTCTTCTTCTTCTTCTTATGCAGCATAGAGGTTTTATATGGCTTTTTATGCAATGTTTTATGGTCAAATAGATTATGATTATTATTATTACTGTTGATAAAGTTCCTATTATAGAGTTGGTGTATTGATATTGCTCTTTTTTCCCTAGTGTATGTATACTTTGAATTTCTAGTCCTTTCTCTATTTCTTGTAATTTCTCGTCAGTTTCCATTTTTCTCCAAATTGGTCGCACTTCGTTTGATGTTGTTGTCTCTTTTTTAGGATTCAGTGTTTTTAGGATTGGTGAAATTTCTTCTAGTTTTAATTCTATTTTTGGTGCATAAATATATTCTTGAGGATTGTTTATTATTTGCAGTGTAGGTAATCTTATCGTGTCCGTTTTTAAGGTGCATTTCGGTGATAATTTAATAATTCCTATTCCATTCAGTTGAAAAGTATTGACCTTCGTTTTGGGGCATATTAAATATGCAGTTTCTTCTTTAGTTAGTGAATATAACCAATTTCCTGTTGTTATTAAAGGTTCCCACAGTGGTTGTTGATTGTTTGTGATTCGGATGTCACAACTTCTTAAAGTGTTATTATTAGGTTCCCTTAGTAGTTCTGATTCACAACTTGGTGCCAAAATAATGTCATAAATTCCTTGTGTTGGGTAACATACATATCTTCCTTCTACTAATTGGCACGTTCTCAGTTGTTCTTCTTCTAAATAAAAGTAATGTCTTCCCTCTACACTGGTGGCTAAGTACTTGGAGTGAGGTGTAATATACGCTCTGTTCCCTTTTGTTCCTATAGATTGTAGTACTGGCAATTCATGCATCTTATATAGTAAATATTTTTCTTTCTCTAAGAGAGGGATATCTAGTGTTATGAATAAATTTTCTTCTTTTGCTTGTATTCCTATTTTTGATATCTCTGTAATTGTTGCTACATTTAAGTTGTCTATATGCATGGGATATTCCTGGTTTTCTAAAAATTTATGTGCTTCGGTTGCTATTGTTTTTATCTGTTCGTTGTTTAATAATTTTGGATGTAATTTTCCTTCTATAGCTTTGAATATAACGTTTAAAGTTTCTTCTAATCCGTGCTTATAAGTTTCTATTTGTTCATTCCATTGTTTTGATGTTTTTTGTAACTGTAGCATGAAATCTGTGGTGGTTAATTTAGATTTTACATCAAGTATTTCTTCTTCGAGTTTATAGAGTCTTTTTCTTTCTTCTTCTGATTTGTTATGTTGTTGTTGTGCTAAATCATATAAATTTTGTAAATCTGCTCGTACTAAATGAGTTTGTTCTCCTACTAGATGTGATATGTTTTTCTGTGCCTCGTTTAATTCTGTGAAGAGTTGTTCGTATCTTTCCCCATCGTCATAAGTTAATATTCCTATGGTTGGTCCTGCAATTTTTCCTATGAAACCTACTAATGGAGTGTTTCGTTTCTTTCTACTTTGAAATCTAATTGTCTGTTCTGTTGTTGGTTGCTGTTTTAATTCGTTTATGAGATTTAATAATTGCTCTCGGAGTAACTTGGCTACTGTAATTTCTTTATTTAACATCTGATATTCTAAAAATTCTTCACAACTCATTTTCATTATTTTTTGACATTCTGTTTCTATCTTTTTATATTCTATTTCCAAATCAGGTAAATGTTTTTTAAATGTGTCTGTGTCCAATAGGATTATGGTTCTCCATGTTCCTGATATTCGTTGTAGATTCGGCATAAGTTCATAAAATAGTCCCGTATTTTTATTTAAGCTTGTTATTGAAATAAAAGGGTTTATCTCATTTGCTCGTATAACTTCCATCATTCCTAGTATTACGATGCATATTCTAAAATAGTTCTCCATTTCTGTAACCAAAATTTAATTATGTGTTTAGTTTTCTTTATATATATTTTTTTTTAGTTTCTATCGCTAGTTTAGCTAATCTATCTGCTTCTTCGTTTCCTATTATTCCACTATGTCCTGGCTCGTATATTAATTCTACTTCTAGGTTATTTATACTATTTTTCATTTTTATGAAGTCCTTTTTACTTATGACTTCTTGTTTTCGGCATGTTTTCCAACCGTTGTTTTCCCATTTCGGTAACCACTCTTTTATCCCATATATTACAAACTTAGAGTCGGTGTGTATCCTAATTTTCTTGTATTTTAAGTTTTTTAAAATGTCTATGGCTTTTATTATGGCCTCTAATTCGGCACTATTATTAGTTTGCCTATTATATGCTTTGTCACTGACATTTAAGGGATGTTCTTGGTTAAACCAGATTCCTATTCCAGCTTGTGCATTTGGTTTACCATTTGCCTTACAAGCTCCATCAGTGTACACATGTACATAATCGTCTTTATCTATTCTTAATCCTCTTTTATCATTCTGTCAGGAGTATGCCTTCTTGACCTGATCCTTGTGCTTTCGGAATCTCCTCTTTTCCGCGTCGCTTAGTATCAAATTATTCTTTTCTGTAATCCCTACTACTTCATATGGTCCGTGGTAATATGGGGAGAATTTACCAGTTCTTACTTCTTCTTTTACGTCTACTAAGTCTCCTATTTTTACGTCCAAGGGTTTTGTTTTGCTATTTAATTTTTCTCTGACTTTTTCTTTTGACTGGATCAGATTTTTAGCTACCATTCTTCGGATTTCAATTAGTCGTATTACTAATTCTTTCAAATAGGATTCGTATGTTTCCATTTCTTTCTCTGTCGGAAAAATGGAAGGGGTGCGAGCAGTTTTCCCAAAAACTACTTCGTGAGGGGTGAACTTTGTAGCTTCGTGGACGGAAGTGTTATAGGCAAACATAGCGTAGGGCAATAATCGATCCCAGTCGTCGAAGGCTTCTGCATAGTGTCTGATGAATTCTGCTAGTACGGCGTGACTGCGTTCCAGTGCGCCGTTAGTTTGTGGCCTATATGCTGTAGTAGTGACTTGGGCTACTTTAAATAACTTTGCTAGTCTTCTTAACAAGTTGCTAGTGAATGACCTTCCTTGGTCTGTTAAGATACATTTTGGTGCTCCATAAACGGAAATTAGGTTAGTAGCTAATGCGTTTGCTATCGTTGTAGCATTTATATCTGGTATTGCTACGAAAATGCAATATTTACTTAATTGATCTTGCATGGTCAGAATGTGACAGTTTCCATTAGCGGTAGTGGGGAGTTTTCCTACTGTATCTAGGGAAACTTTGTCCCATGCATCCAATGGTGTATCCGTTATGACCATGGTTTCTTTATTTTTTGTTCTAACAATTTTCTTCTCTGCACAACTTCTGCATTTTCTTATGTAATCTGTAATATCTTGTCTTAAACCTGGCCATGTGAATTTTTCTCGGATCCTTCGATACGTTTTGTTGACTCCTTTGTGTCCTGCTATCAAACTATCGTGGTATTCAGCGATTATTTTTGCTCTAACTTCTTCTGGGGGAATGATTGTTTTTCCGTGACATACGGTAATCTTAATATCTGCTTTTAGAAAGACTTTTGCTAGTTGTTCTATCCAATTGAAATCTGATTCTTCTAACATTTCGACGTGCCTAGGTACGCGTATTTGTTTTATATTGTCTTTTTGAAGGATGTTTTTCAGGTTGATCAATGCGTTCACCAACTTACTTTTACTCACGGTGTCATCGTAATGTTGGGTAGTTATCACTGTATAAACTTTGTTTTTTCCAAACTCGGTGACCAATATTTGTCCCTTTTTTGGTTTCTTTGATTTCATTTCTAACAGATCGATTGCTCCTATGGCTATCAATAACTTGGTTGTGTATTCATTTGGTTCTAAATCTGACGCCACGAAGTGTACATAATTGTCCCTGACAGCGGTAATTGGCTCTCGGCTGTATTGTAGTACTTCTAATCTGTTTAGGGCATTTTCTGAAGAATCTATAGAGTTGTTTATTTTGTGATAATTGTCTTCGATATATGGTACAGTAATCCCTAGGCCGAGTTCCACTTGTGGGTGTGTTTCTGTTTGCGTTTTGTCCCTATCTATGTTTACTAATTTCCTTGGGAAAATAGGTTTCTTTTTGTTGTCGGTTTCTTTTCTTATTTCCGTTTCCTCTAAAATAGCTTCCTTTAGATAGGGGGTTGATCTCGCTTTTGGTAATTCTAAGCGTAAGGGAGTTTCAAAAGTTACCGATTTTCTTTTTGTTTTGTCTGTGAATGGTTTTTCTTGGGTTTTCTCTACATAGCTGTCTTGTTTTGGGAGTTTTGTAGCTATGTCCCGTAATTCTTCTATAATTTCTTCCATGTCTCTTGTTCCCTCCGGGAACTCATCATTTGTTTTTGATATTTCTTGTGCTTCTTCTTCTGCTTCGTTTTCAAATATTTCATTGTCCCAAAAGTATGATTCGTGATTTGCTAACGATTTGTCGAATCTTCTTATTGAATCCAGAACGCCCTTCAATGTTTCTTGATTTACTCCTTCTTGTTGTGGAGTATCTTCTTCTATCTCTTCTGATTCGCTATCTTCTTGATTTTTGTCTGCATCTTTATTTGTCACTGTTTCTGTAGCTTCTTTAAAATTTTCTTCTTCACTTTCAGAGCTGTCTATGGGAGGATCTACTTGTATGACTATCTCATTTTCTTCCATTTCTCTTATGTTTTCTTTTCTATTTTCTTCTTCATTTTTTTTTTCTTCTTCGTCACTTTCCGATGAATAATCTTTCGAAGTTGTAGGTTTGTCTATTAATGAGGGTAACACGCTATATTGTTTTCTTAATATGGGTATTGGTTCTGGATCTTCTATTATTTCATTCTCTGAAGTTGAGTTTTCGTCTGTGTCCTCAAGTTCTATTTTATCTACTTTTTCCGTTTGATTATTTTTTTTTTCTGGTTTTGAGGCTTGACTCCTGAGTCTTTTTGCAATGGGACGGTCATCTGTATCTGTTTCTATTATTTTTTGTTTTGTTTTACCCGGTGGTCTTCCTCTTTTTGGTTTCTCATAAGGGGCTACTTTCTTTTGTTCCTTTATGGTAGAATCTGATTTTGATCTGCTTCTTAAAAGGGGATTTGTTTGATTTTTAGAAGTTTCCTCCTTTTTTTTTTCTTTTTGTTATCAGCAGTTAATTTTTCTAGTTTTTCGTCTGTTTTTTTATTGTATTTTCCTGCGGCACTACTTATAGGGAATGCTTTAATTTCTGTTTTTCTTGGCATTTCTTCTTCCTCTTCGGTACTTTCCGAGGATTGTAATTCGCTAGAATCTGTGTCGGTAGTTTCATCTTCTTTTTCATTGCTTTCTTCTTTTTGTACTGGATTTTCCGATAAGGCTGATAACCAACGATTTATTTTACCAGGCTTGCACACAAAATCATATTGATAATCTTGCAGTCTTAACAGCCATTTTGTCATTCTTGTAGTGGGTTTGTTTGCGTTGTTAATTATTTTCAAGGGTTCGTGATCACAAGATAATATAAATTTAGTGCCATATAAAAAGGGCCTGTAATGTTCCAGAGCTTGTATTACTGCTAGACATTCTTTTTCTGTCGTATCGTAATTTTCTTCTGCACCAATAAGTGTTTTTGAAAAGTAGGCTACGGGCAAATCAATCCCGTCTTTTTCTTGCGTGAGTACTGCGCTAACGGCGTGTTCGGATGCGTCAGTAGTCACTCTGAATCTCTTTTCAAAATCTGGATGCAACAAAATAGGATTTTTGCACAAAGCCTTTTTTAGTTTCTTGAAACTTTGTTTTTCTTCTTTTTCCCATTTGAATGTTTTGTCCTTCTTTAATAAACAATATAAGGGTTTTGCGATTTTGGCGTAGTCCTTTATAAATCTTCTGTAGTATCCTGTTATACCGAGAAAACCTTTTACTGCTTTGGGTTTGGTTGGTGTGGGGAATTCTTTGATTGCTTCTATTTTCTTCGGGTCTGCTCTAACTCCATCTGGACCAACGATGTGCCCTAAGTAAGCAACCTCTTTTCGTAAAAATTCGCATTTTTCGGGTTGCAATGCCAGTTTTGCTTTTCTTAATCGTTCCAATAGACGAGTTATTGTTTTGTCATGTTCTTCTAATGTATTTGAAAACACAATGATGTCATCTAAATAAACAAACAACTCTGCTCCTTGTAATCCTGACAGGACGTTATCCATGAGCCTTTGGAATGTAGACGCTGCATTTTTTATTCCCATGGGCATCCTTTTATATTGATAGTGTCCTCGACCGCAAGAAAAGGCTGTTTTATGTTGGTCCTCTTCGGCTGTCCCTATTTGGTGGTAACCCATCGCTAGATCAAAAACGGAAAAATACTGAGCCCCTCCTAATCTTTCCAAAATATGATTTATTAAAGGTATGGGATAGCTTTCCCCCACCATCTTTTCATTAAGGGCTCGGAAATCTATAACTAAACGCCATTTCTTGTTTCCATCTGCATCAGCCTTTTTAGGTACTATTAGTACCGGGGAATTGTAATTAGATTTAGAAGGTTTTATTAGGTCGTTTTCATCCATTTTTTCGATTAATTTCTTCCCGGCTTCTTCGTATTCAGGCGGTTGTCTATACTGTTTGCATTTGACTGGGTTTTCGTCAGACGTGGGGATGTAATGTTTTACTAGTGGTGTGACCGGCAGTTTGTCCCCTGGCAAGTAGAATCTGTCTTGTCCCATTTTTACCCATTTCTTAACATAATTATTTTCTTCTGGGTTTAAATAGTCTAACTTTAATATTTCTAAAATTTTTTTTGTGCGATTTTCTGTTGAGTTTTCACTTTGTATGTTTTTGGTTTGCTCTTCTTCTGCTATCTCAAAGGGTAGTAGTTCTTGTGGCAAAATTGAAACAGTGATGTCTCTTTCGGTAGTGTTTATAGCCATTATTTTGCATTTTCCTTTTCGTTGAGTTACTAATGCTTCTCCTA